TGTTCTACTTTGGACCCCTCCATGGGCACCTCAATTTCCATCTCTAATGCACACTGCTCCTGGCTACTATTCATGATATTGGCATATTGAGCATTAAAAGCTTCAACTAGTTGATTCACTTGAGCCTCCAAGTTGCGAATAGTTGCATCTTGCCTTTGTACCCGCAGTTGTATCTCATCATATTGTTTCACAAGGCACTTTAGCATATCCTCAATCTTTTTCAGGTCAGCATCCCTGGGTTCTTTGTTCCTATAAACTTCACAAGAAAAAGAAGAACCATCAAAGTAAGGGGTTGGGGGAAGATAAGAAATATAAACAAAACCATGAAAGTGACCATCTTGACCACCACAGATATCGCACACATTCCACACAAAAGATTGAGTTGGTGTACATAACTCGCTCTAGGAAATATTTTGATAATTTTGCCATGGGTGGTTTCCTCCACAATATGCATAAGGAGGATCAAAAGTAGAATTACCAATATCAAAACTCTCATAATTCTAAGATTCCATGTCTCTCAAGCCAAAAATAAAAATAAAAAAAAATAATCAAATAAAAGAAAACAAAAATAAAAGTTCAAACTTGCAACCTAGAAATATGTACACCTATAACTACACCATTAGTTCCGCGGCAACGGCGCCAAAATTTGATCACGCCCAACTATGCCTTATAAAAAGGACTAAGCGATCGTTGCAAATATAGTCCAGTTTACAAGTTCGGAGTCGAATCCCACAGAGAACTAAGGTTTAGCTACAACGGTTCACTATTACCAAGAAGACAAGCTTGAACAATTCCTAACTTATAGATATTAAGATTCTTGTGTTTAACTAATTAACTAACAAATAAAAATAGTAAATCAACAACTAAAGATACTAAGGGTTAGAGGTCTGGAGTTATGATTTCCTCTATTATCGGAATCCTTCCCGCTACGTTTTCTATAAATTCACCTAAGTATACTCTACCGATCATGAGCGCTCTGACTGTCGTAACTCTCTCCCGAGTAATTACCACAATTTACTAGATATATTCTCCCGAATTATGCTATCTGGCATTAAGTACGGCTCACTCGGATCGCACCCAAGGTTTCGTTATCCCTAATCGCACCTTTAAACCCTCCATATTGATCCCTCATATACGTTAGGAGTGATGTTGTTCAAAAACTACCTAAATATGCACTCTCTCCCGAGTAATACATACTAAATAGGCACAATCGATTGAGAGTTCTTCAACCAACCATAATAATAACGTAGTTGAACAAATAGAGAAAATACTACAGCAAATCTATATTAACGTAACAGCAAAATTATCCTCCAATAGGTTCCATCAAAACCCTAGATAACAAATTAGCTATTCATAATAGTATGCATAACTACAATACTAGAATTCATAACCAATAATGAAAATAGGAAGAAGGAAGTGAAAAAATCGTAGAAGAATTCTCCGCCTTGCTCCTAATGTGTTCTTGCCTCCTTAGGTCTAAATTATGTCAAAAGTATGTCCCCCCTTCTCAAAATAGCGTTTTTACATGTATTTATACCAATTAGGGTCCCAGACGAAACATCTTTTCCTGCGCAAAATAGCACAATCACTTTGTAAAATTTGCACTACCGTGCCACATGGGGCGACGCACCATGCGGTGTGCTTGTGGGGAAGTTCAGAGAGCTGATTCTGACAGGCTGCAGGAATTTTTCACAGTGGCGTGCCGCGGTAATGGGAATTCGCAAAAATGCAAAACATGAGAGTTGTAGACCTTTCAAATAGCTTTCCAACGATATATTGTGGAGCCCAAACGGAGTTCTGAGCGAGTAGTTATGCGCATTTTACTAGACAATGCGCCGTATGCCCGCTCGATTCTTCGTTTCGTTCTTAACTATCATCCGTCGATCCCCGAACACGATCCCGCCTTGATTCCTTGGGTTTTTACCAGACTTCAAAGCTCCAAATCACTTGAATTCATTCTATAACATCTACATAGCTTGGAATAACTCCTACAAAGCATAAAATACATAATTAGTGCAAAACACTAGCGATTAAAGCTCAAACTCAATTAAAGTGCAGTAAATAAGAGTGTAATAAGCAACTAAAATACGTAATTATAGCCTATCATCAACCTGCTAGATATTCAACGACTAAATTTAAGAAAAAGAATGTGCAAAACGTGGGGTGTGTGAAGTACTGATCAAGGATACGATACAAATTTGGATCCCCACATTGTAATTTCTTTATTAGCATTGACGCGCATTCCTTGCCTGATTTTTTAATCAATCATGTGAACATGAAAAAGAAAAAATTAATCGTTTCAACATCGTCTAGACTTTATTTTTTTTAGGGTTTAGGGTAAAAAAGGTAATTCACCTCTGGCCCATTTTACTGGCCCTTCTAAGTTCAAGTTGAAAAACGTAGTCTTTTCATTTTGGGATTTTTTTCATTCATATACACTATTTGAAACTTTATTACCCTTCATATTTATGTTTAGTTAATTATCCGGCATAAACAAGTTTTATTTACGAAATATATACAATCTACCTTAAAAGACCCCCAATCCATTATTTGTGCCTTCAATCAACGGATTTACTAAATAGTTTTATTCAATTTGTACTTTGACTGCTGCAATTATGTCCTGATTCTAATTAAGGTGCATCAACCAAGTCACCGTAAATACAAATTTTGCTACCTATTAATTACTATCTCACAATTACACTATTTCTTCATTTTTGCTGATATTTTAGTTTATGTCGTTAAGTTCGAACCCCCACAATGGCTACATAAGCCTATTTAGACGTTGTGCCTTTTACTTCAACTTGAGTTTCATCAATAATCATACGGAAGGGATGAAGAAAATAGTTGTAAGGTAATAAATACATTTATATAAAGTTATTGATTCCCTGGCAATCACCAAATTTATATATGACAATCACCCAAAAAAAAAATCTAAAACAATTTATAAATAAAAAACCCATATCTAACAGGTATTTGTTGCAATGTTGCATTTTTAAAAACTTGAACTATATTTTTGGTGGGCATGTATATGGTTTTTGTAATTGTTTTTTATTTATTAAAAATATGTAAAATAACAAACTTAGTTTTTCTAATTGCTACGTAGTCCTTTTTTTGCACAAGAAGTTATGCGCGGTTCAAGTTGGTGGTCCTCCAATCACCAAACTAGCACAGTTTCTCAGACCTATTGTGAATTGTAAAAATTGAAATGCTTTTAATGGGAGGAGAAATCTCACATAGAACAGTTACTCAAAATGAGGAGGAGAAAATATGTGAATTGGAAGAAAACAGAAAAATAAATCAACAAATCAGAGATAATATAAATTGTGAAATTACAATGAATTTGGAGGAATTCACTATGTCGTTCAACTTTAATACAATATGTCTTTTATATATTTTGTATCTGATTTATACATAGTAAAAATAAATTTTATACAACTAATTATATATTATACAATTTATCTACAACTCATCTACAACTTATCTACAACTTTCACACATTATTTCTACCCAGTTAAATACAACTATAATAACATATAACTTAAATACAAATTTTATAAAATATGTCTTTTGATATTTTGTATCTGATTTATACATAGTAAAAACAAATTTCATACAACTAATTATATATTATACAACTTATCTCCAATTTTCATTCATTATTTCTACTCAGTTATATACAACTACAATATCATACAACTTACATATAATTTTAATACAATGTTGTTCAACTTTCATACAATAGTTAAATAAATAAAGGAAAATGTATAAACAACAGAATACATTTTTTCTACAACTTTGCTACAATTTCGTAAATATAATGTATATCATGTCTTCTTCTTCTTCTTCTTCTTCGAGTTTCAATCTGAAATTCAGCCAAAACCAAGTCTAATCTTCACAAAACCCCTTCAAAATTGAGATATAAACTCCAAACCATATTCCCAATTGTTTGCAACAACACCCAATCCAAACAAATAATGATTTTTTAAAACCCAAATTCGAATTCAAAGCTTCAAAGCTTTTTAATGGCTGTCAATGGTGGAATTGCTGCTCTCTTTTCCTTTGCTTTACATTACTGAAATTAGGGATAGAGAGATAGAGAGACGTAGAGAGAATTCTCAATTCTTTGCAACAACATCTAATTCAAACAAATAATATTTTTGAAAACCCAAATTCGAATTTATAGCTTCAAAGCTTTTTAGTGGTTGTCAATGGTGGAATCGTGGGGGTGCAAAATACGCAGGGGAGGGGGATGGGATGTGGAGAGAGAAACGTGGGAGAGTAGAAGATATGTTAGAGTAATTTTAGGACACTAATTATTATCATTAATTTTTTTAAAATATACATAAATGGTAATTAAGTATATCAAAAAAAATTATAGTAAAACTTGAGTAGAGAGAGTAATATAGCGTCAAAGAAAATGATACAAATGAAATATATATAGTAAAATGAAATATATATAGTAACAAAAGATGGAAGAATTCTTTAGGACAGTAGTTGGCCCGTTAAAAGTGAGAAAGGTGAAGATAGAAAATTAGAAGTCATTTTTGTCAAATTGGAATTTAAGTAATATCAATCAAATCTCGATGGTTAAACTATAACTTCAATCTACAAAATAACATTTAAATTAAAGTTAACAAATCCCATATTAGTATCTGTAAGATTATGTCAAACTTATCGAGATATATCAAAACAGAAAAAGGGCATTACATACACTATATTAGTTAATCAAAATAGCAGGATAAGTGTTGGAGTCATAGAAGTAAATGTGCAAATCATGCTAAAAGGAATATCTTAAAATCATATAATATATATATATATAGCTATTTTTGCAAGGCGAGCTAAAATTGAGTTTCAAGATCATCGTGACGTGGATGAATCCAAGGGTATAACTCGAGGTACAGTTCTACTATGTACATTACTAAATTATGTGACCCTTCATTATTAATATAGACAGGAAAAATAAAAATAGTACAAATCATGTCACCCACTAACATTGATGTGATCTATTAAATAGTACCCATTCAATAACTACTCCAATATGCTAGAAAGATAAAGAGAGAAAGAAAGTAACAGAGAAAGCTCAAGAGAAGACATGGGAATAGCAGCTCACTTCAACCATTTCTGGTTCCTTCTCTTCATCGTCTTCTTCTCTTTCTCCATCTCCTCCATTTCCGGATCCGTAAGTTACCTATCTCTAATCTCAATAATCCCATCTTCTTCTTCTTCTCCTTTTTTATGGGTTAAATTCTTTGTCTAATATTAATTTAAACGAAGAAATATGCTTAGTGAGGATTCATATAACTGAACTCGATTTATGTGTTACTGAGTTGTACTTGTTGTTGTTTTGGTTAAGTCCTTCACGTTCAAGATCTAATAGTGGCTTTATAACTTAGCCAATGTAACTTGAACTCCCAATTAATATCAATCTTCTTATTAACCTTTTTTTTATCTTCTTTTATTTATCTATTTAATTTTTTTGAACAAACGCAGGATGATGATTGCGTGTACACAGCTTACGTCCGAACGAGTTCAATAATAAAGGGTGGAACCGATTCGATTATCAGTTTGACTCTCTACGATGCCGACGGATATGGCATTAGAATCAAGAACCTCGAGGCTTGGGGTGGGCTTATGGGCCCAGGTTACAACTATTTCGAGAGAGGAAATTTGGATATCTTCAGTGGTCGAGGCCCATGTTTGACTGGGCCTGTCTGCAAGATGAACTTGACTTCCGACGGAACTGGCCCAGGCCATGGATGGTACTGTAACTACGTGGAGGTCACCGTCACCGGAGTCCATAAAGCATGCAACAAACAGAATTTCGAAGTGGAGCAGTGGCTCGCAACTGATGCGTCGCCTTATCAGCTCACGGCCATTAGAGACAACTGTAAGAAGACCAAGTCCGATGAGAAACTGTCCATTTCCGATGTCTACGAAACTCATTCCACTCCACATGTTTCTGTGATTTAAGTTTCAAGTTATTGGGCTTTAATGGGCCTGGGCCCACATTTCTCTGTTGTATCTTTTGTGACTGAAATCTATCAGGGGTAAGTATGACATATAATATGTGTCAATGTTGCTTTCGTGTTTATATTATGAGTGGTGGTGGAGTAATAAAGGTGACCTGATAATTTTGCGAATAATAAGAATCAATACATTTGCTCATGAGTACTATATTGCAAAAATAAAGATTTGCCCCATCGTTATTTCTTATGCCACCATTTTATATTTCAAGTATGTTATTAGATTCTGCATGCTTTAAATAAATATTATCACTATTTGTTGTACATGTTTTGTCAAAATTTTTAGAAGAGGCTCGAATTAGTTCAACTTGAAACGATTACAATAATTAGGTCACCTAACAAAGTAATGACACAAGTTATAGAAATGTCGGCAGAGTATCTGCGCTGTGCATATTTCGTCAAGACTTTATGAATATGAGGAACCAAATTTAGAACCCAAAAGAATATACGTCCATTTGCAATTAATTTTTCCATATCTTTCCACATAAAAATATTACTCAAAAATAGGAAAATCTTGACAAAGACAGAAACAATTATTAAAAAATTAGTCCTTTCGTAAATATTACTTTTATTGAGTAATTTGATTTTCATAAGTAGAAACTAGAAAGCAGTGGGTACCACCTAAATATTTCACTCAATTTCATTAAAATATATGCTTGTTATTTTCAACTCATTGACCCAAAAGTTTTCATCGTGCATAATGTTTAATATTTAAAGATATGCACATATCTTTTTCATTGGACAACTTTTTTTAATGAATTTATAATGTATTAACTTAATTGATATACATATCTTTTGAGATTTTAAATTGGAATATAATTTTTATCTTTTATATGTAGCATTAAAGAAAAAAAATAATTTTTAGATAATTCTTATTTATAGTAGCCAAATAAAATCTACAAGTCAACTCCTCTTGTAGGTGTATAACAATCATTCACTATAAACATAAAAAAAAAAAAATCAGAATAAATAATGTTATGGAGAGGTTTTATTCTACTTGTCAAATTTTAATGAGATTACTATATTTTACTCCTTTATTATTTTTATTCGTCTACCACTTATTTTTAAATACATAAGAAAAATATGATTTCACATACTTTGAAATAAATATTTAAAAATCCATTTTTTAATTTTTCTCTGAATAATCATGTCAAATGAAAATGTAATCAACTAACTGAAATGGATATATGATTGAATCGATAAATAAATTTCCTATATTGTCAAAACCTAAAAGCTTATTGTTGCAAACCGACATCCAGAAAAGGACGACTTGATAAATCAGATATTATATCTGAGATTTTTTTGGGACGATTTATGAATGTTTTGATCAATGCGAAACAAACAAGTGGCCACTTCACACGTTCTTAGCCTAAAATTTAGAAAAATGCCAGCTGATTGACGAGGACCCCTTCAAACAAGCACCAAGCGCGTACTAAAAAGGAACCTGTCCTTTATTTTGCTTTCAACTCTTTGCTAAGAATAAATCAAGGAAAAGGAAAAACAATTCTTTGATAAGTATTTTACGAACCACAGTTTCATTTGGGAAACGATCCTTTTTTTTTTTTTTGTAAATAAATAATTTTATTAAGGTTTACCCCTAAATAGGATAACAATTAAATTTGTACGTGGTTTTAAGGATACGCGGTTTGATTCAATACAAACAACTAAGAATATTAGATAAATGAAATAAAAATGAATTAAACGACCAAACTAATTGTGTCCTTATGGCCAAGCCTGATCTTAGATCAAATAATGACCTTGTCCTCGATCGGACCCTCGGTTCGAGCCCAATCATGAAAGAAGAACACGTTAAGTGAACAAGAACTTTAACAGTAGCTAAAAAGCAAAAAATAAATTTGTAATGCTTTGATTTGCGTGTTACAATGTGTTTTACAAAAGAAAGACTTCCCTTATATATAGTAGGAACATTACCTCCCTTTTATATAGTAGGAGCATTTCATCCCTAGTATAAGTCTAAAAAAGGTAAAAATCCTCCTTTCTAGTTAATTACTAATTCATAACTGACATCGAGCGAGATCCGCACCGTGATGTCCGGTTGGGTGTGAATATCACGACCCTCTATCTGTCCTGTGTAACCGTTTACCGTGTTTCTCGAGGTCTTAGAACTCATTCTTGGCCCGGGGCGCTTTACCATATCCGATGAGTAGCACATCGTTCACTCTTCCTGAATCTTGATACGAGGGGTCTCTAACCTCGATTACAATCTCGTGCACGGTGCCCTTCTTCCGTTTTGTTAGTGGGGAATCGGGGTAGACATTAACCCCGATTTTACCCGTACACAATTACCAAAAGAGAATATTTACAGCTCAATACAAAAAAAAATCTCCTAAACTATTAGCCTACCAGTTTTAAAAAGAGGAGCAAGTTTCAGCTACTACACATCATAACTTGGTTAACTAACTCCCACCATACTATCTGGGACGGAAAACCTTCCTAGCTCGTTTTGGCTTCAATACTACCCCTTAGCACCACCTCCTGGATAATCAAGTTCAGTAAAACCTCATATGATCTTTGTTCCACTTTTAGGGGTGGTTTGGTTGGAAAGAAGTCATCCCAGAATTAATTATCTCGGGAGTAGTTATTCCACTTTTCTATGGAACAATACTACAATTCCGGGATAACTAATCTCAAGATTAATTATACTGCAATTTTTTTCCAACCAAACATGGGATAAACTCTTCTTAAATTTAATTCCGAGATTAATTATCCTTACTTCTGAAACTACAAGAGGGGGGGGGGGGGTAGGGGGGTGAATTTTTTCCTAATTAAAATTTAGTCGACTAATATAGGTATTAGTTGACTAACCACGAGACAGAAAGAGTAAAAGCAGTAAAGAGCAATAGTAAGACACGCACAATTTATACTAGTTCGGTACCGTTGTGGTACTTACATCCAGTTCCCTTGGGTCACAAGGGTTCCCTTAAGATCATTGAATAAAGTTACAAGATTGATGGTTTTCATGTTTACCACCAACGTATAGAATCAGCAATTGAGTTCTAATCAATTGACACAACTTTCTTTTGTACTCTAGATCTCTCTATCTTTTGAGACACTGATAACTAGAATTACAGTGTTTGAACTAAGAAGTAGACAGATTTGGAATACACTTTTTGTAGTTGCGTGATCTTCTTCTTGAGAGAGCAGCCTTCTTATACAAGAGAAAAGAGCCGTTGAGTCTTATCCGAAACTGGAGGCACAAGATCTTTAATTAAGGGATTTGACCCAAGAGGTGCCTCTTTGAATCTTGCTCTTTGACTGGCCTAGATTCGAATGTGACCTTCCTTGTCATAGCTGAATTCAAGGAGAGATTAATTCGTAATCGTGTTCTTCGAAGCTGGAGTGATCTTGATTGGTAATCTGTGTTCCCTTGATTAAGTCAATCTGATCATCAATGCTGTAACTGAATCTTCATTCTTTCCTTGAAAGGATGATTCAATCTGCTTCTTAATTGATCATTAATGCAGTAACTAATTCTCAATTCTTCCTTTATTTGGAAACCAGTAGCAATCTTGCTAATCATCTTTATTCTCTCCTTTTTGTTTGTCCTGATATAACATAAGATAATATTGTCATCATTGAAACTTAATCTTAAAACTTATATATCTCCCCCTTTTTGATGATGACAATCAAGAAGGAGTAAACAAGTTTAAGAAAAGTTAATATACTTCCCTTTTCAGCCTTTTCAGGAGTTGCTCCCACTGAGCTAGTGCGTCCCTTGAATTGAATTGTTACTATGTTTGTAACTCTGTGCTCATGTCTCTCCCTGAGTGTTTACTCACTGTTTTTCTCCCCCTTTGACATCAATAAAAAAAGGAAAGAGTAATATAATATAATATACAAAATCACAGAGCAATATAATGAACATACTAAAATGGGTTAGAGTAGTAATGCCTTCAGCAGAGGCTTTAGTACAGACCAAAAAAATAATTGTCTAAAGGCCACCATAAAAAAACAACAAAAAAACATAAGTTGTTTGTCACAAAAACAACCAGAGATAATTAATGACGTCTCAGAAACTATTTCAGGGTGTTGATCACTTTGGTGCAGAAGGAGTCATAGGAGTTGTCAACATCTTTGACGAGCTTTTCCATTTTTTCAGACATGGAATTGAAGGCCCTGGTTCCATGTCTCCTCGTATCCCATATGTCTATCCGTAGCTTCGCTACATCTGAACCTGTCTCCTTAGTGACTGCTCTGATTTTATCTACCTGTTCTTTCATTCCCACCAGCTGTAGCTTGACTTCATCAAGGTGTTGTTGAATGTGTGGAAGACTTTGGGAGGTAGTCGACTGAGGAACTGGTTGATCAACTTGAACATCTACCGGAGCTGGAGCACTTTCGACCTTGGCCCTCTTAACCTATCCATTTTCACCCAATGAGTAACCCATAATAGATAAAGCAGTTTTATCATAGGTACTGGAGATGTGCTTAGGTGTAAAGGGTGCCAAGTCAACCTTCATAACTTTCAGAATATGAGAGATAAGAATACCATAGGGCAGACAAGCAGCAGAAGAGGAAATATCCCTAATACTCTCAAGCATATATTGACGAATCCATACAAACCAATTAAGACGCTTGTTGTTGATCAGATAGTAGAGGACAAAGATATCTCTAGTGGACAAAGACCGTAGGGACCCAGACCTGGAAAGTAGATTAGTGGCAATCATGTGGGCCAAAACCCGATGTTCAAACTTTAGATTTTTGGGGCCAATATCAGGGGGATTATCAGACAAGAAAATTTTGGCTTCTTTAAGAGACACGTCAAAGTCTTTGGGCCAAGAATTTTGGACAAACACATCATATCCGCTAAATTTGGCAGAAATTTTTTTTTCAAATTGGTAGGAGTCCAACACAATTCTAGTACCTAAGACCATAGATTCTAAGTCATCCTTATCATTCACAAACAGATTTGCATAAAATATTATCACAGGTTCTTCATACACAGAATTTTCAAACACAGGGGAAAAATGCTGAAAATAAAAATTGCAGTCACATCACAATGAAGACTTTGCATAAGAGAAAGAGACTTACACAACGTCCATAAGCTATGGATTTTGACTTATAGGACTCAAACCTTGCCTTTTCACTGGGGCCATAGAAGATCAACTTGTCTTCCGGACCAAAATCCAAGCGTTCTACCTTGCCCATTTTGCATGCAGCCT